TATTTATGTCTTGACAATGAGTCACCATTGACATTTTAATAGGAAAGAAAGGATGGAGAATATAGAGGAAGGAATGAATGAAAAGAAAAAGGAAAAGTTTTCTGTCTATTAACTCGAGGTGGGTTTGTTGTCATCAGCTGAAGGCCAAGTGAACTCAGCTCGTGGGAAAATCTTGCTCTAGAAGAAAGGAGAAGAGAGGCAGAAAGAGAGAGTTGGAGGAGGAGAAGGAGGGTGAAAAGAGACAGACGGAGAGAGGAAAAATGCATCCGGCGGATGGCGGCCCCGCTCCCCTGGTGTTTTGTGAGGGGGAGACGCTGCTTGTTTATTGAGCGAGGGACAGTGTTTTTCTATTGTTGTGCCAGGCCACTATTTGTGCTGCATTTGTTAAGCAATCCATAAAGGAGTCGCAACATTTGTCTCACTGTCAGCGACTTAGCCTGCCCCTGTAAACTACACACACACACACACACACACACACACAACAATATATACATGCAAAGATAGGAGCTTATTCTCTCATATAAATTACAACACACAAATAAGCACACACACTCTCAGCTGGCCTCTTTCTTTTGTACCGCACTTTGAAACTCTCCTACCTCAGTCCAAATGGTCTCCTCCTTTTTCTTATGACCCCCCACCCCCTCCCTCCCCCTCACTCTCTCCCCCTCTAGCTTCTCTTTCTCTCTTTCCATCCCTCCCTACCTGAAAGGACAGAGGTTTCATTGTAGCACTCTGGGAGGGCGCTACAAGCCTCTAACACTGTCTGCTATTGTAAATTGGAAGGATGGTAAGCATGGTATATGTGTGTGTGTGTGTATGTGTGATTGAGACAGAGAGAGACTCATAGATGGCTGAAGAAATGGATAAAGAAAAGATGCAGAGAGAAAAAGGGGATATGAAGTGAGAAGAGTAAAATCATGGATAAACACACACACCGCTGGAGTTTTTCCTGCTCTGTTGACAATGCAATACCTTCATCTGACCTTTGACCCATCCCCTGTGACCTCATGTCATATGACCAGACTAGTTAGCCTGGAAGAACACCTCTGAGAGCCTCCCTCTGTCTGCCACACACTTTCTCTCTCTCTTCCCAGTCACTTTGACCAATCTGTCTCTTTCATCCCAACCCCCTCTCCACCCATAAACAACAACAACAAATGCAGCATAATATTCTCCCTCTCTTCTTCCATTTGGAGAGGATCAGCTGATTGCACTGGGTTGGGAAATTGTTGTGAGAGCTAGTTGGAGGGGTGAGGGTGTGCTGAGAGAGGGGAGGAAGTGGGGTGAAGGAGGAGGTTGTGGGGGTTAGCATTCTCCTCTGGTATTTTTCTGTCTGTTGTTGTTCCTTTCCTTTTCTTTCGTTTTGCCCCCCTCTTGCTCTCTGGATGGAGACATGGTTATCAAGGCTCTCCGGGGATAGACAATATGGCCCAGACAATGGCCTCCAGTCCCAGAGGGTGGGGGGGGGGGGTTGGACAGGGGCAGAATGGCACATTAGTTTGCAGAGCACGGACACTCTACTCAATTACTCTACTCTCTCTCCTTCACACACACACATTCTCTCATTCCTCAAACACACACACCACTTTAATCTCACCCTTTTAAATGAAGTACAGCGATACTTAAACTGGATGCAGCACTGCTCACTTAAATTGGAAACAAGTTTTTATCATCAACCACAAGAGTTTCTCTCAGCAAAAACTGTCCATACTTTTAGATTTCAAAATAAAAGTCAATAATTATTCAAATAAATACAAATAAACAGTAATGGAAAATGAATTCAGATTTAGTAGAAGTAGCTGTACACTATAAATATAGTCCATCTTCAATTACAAAGACTGATTTAAGTATTAGAAGTGTGGTCAGGAAAATCTAGTTTTAAAAGTAAAAGTGCTCATTATTCAAAATGATATTTTTTTATTATTATATTTGTACTGATGCATGTGATGCAAGTAGCATTTTACAATTGCAGTGGATCAAATATGGAGCTAATTCTAACTACTTCATGTAGTATTGGTTTGTTTAATCTAAAGCAGCATATTACATACAGAAAGGCATTGTAAAATAATAATTTGAAAAAATGAACTATAGTTTTAAAGTAAATGTAGCAAAAAATATAATTCTGAAATGTGATAAAGTACAAGTATAAAAAGCACAATATAATACTCAAGTAAATCACAAGTACGTGACAATTATATTTAAGAGCAGAATGTGACTAAAAATACTTTCACCTCTGAAAATAAATCATATTTACAAATTGAAAAACTGTCAATGAAATGCAATAAAATCCTTCAGGCTGCTGCTGCCGTCTCTGCTGCTGATTGCGACGCGGGCAATGTCAGATTCTGTCTAAGTGTGTCCTGCTTAAACTGTTCAAAGTGTTGACACATCCACTGTTGTTGACCCAAGTCAAATGCACCAATACAATACAATACTTACAAACACCCCAATAAACGAAGGGGGCAAATGGAGGGGTGTGAAAATCCACCACTGCCTTTAAATCACATTGACAGAGACCTCTTCCTATCCTCCCTCCTCCTTCTTCACCCCATCAACTCCCCCCACATCCCCCTGCTTCAAGTTAGACACTCACTTTTCTGTAACCCCACTTCTTCTTCTTCTACTCCTTCTTCTTGTCCATCGTCAAGGAATGTGTCAGTTTGACCACATCATTTCTATTCCCTTCGTCTCTTCATGCACTTTCATATGCTTCTTTTCTCTGTCTTTTCCCTCTGTGCTTTGATTGCTTTGGCTTTCTCTGTGCGTATATTTCTGTTCTGTTTGTGCGAACAGATGAGGCCGTGTTAGCGAAGGCAGTCTGTTTCCACTATTTTCAGCTTAGGGTGGAAATTCTGACACACAGTCAAGTGCTCAGAACCAAAAAACTATTCAAATCATCAAAACAATAATTAGAATATAAAATCAGAGTATACATTTAAGAGCTTAAGATGAAGAGACAAGAAACATATCAACAAGACTTTTGTTGGCTTAGAGCAAATGACAATAAACATTTATGTTAACCTTTTTAGGTCACTCATTCTGCACACAAATACAAAAATAAAAAATGCCAGCAATGATTTCTCTCTTTTAAAATAAACCTTCTAAAACTCTGCCAAACTTCTTCATAGGCAATTTTCAGTCAAAAGTGGCTTCAAGTGAATTTTACCAACCGTATGATTTTAGAAAAAGAGAAGAATAAGAAGAAGAAAAGGGGAAGAAGTGTATAAAAGAAGAGGAAGTGCGATGGCAACATGAAGAAGAAGCATGGCTAAAGGAGGCGAGCGGACACTTACAGAGATGCAGGAACCGAGAGCATCGCGACCATCAAGGCTGAAGCGCACACACACTGGCAACTTGCACACCCTCCGCTCGGCAGAGAGACTAGCGCTTCTACACACACTTGAAACACACACACACAGAATGGAAGATACCCCTCTCTCCCTCACACACATCCCTCTACATATGAACACACACACACACACACACACACACACACACACACACACACACATGTGGCCAGAGCCACAGTGATGGAGTGCATTACTGAAAAGCAAGAGTTTTAAGTGCTCTCCTCCTAAATCATTGTAATCCCTGCATTTATCTCCATATATTCTGCTTTTCTGTGTAATCCTTAAAATTTGTAATTCCTCCTAGCTGTTATCTTTTTTTCCCCTCAACCACATTGCTGAATTGAACAGTTTATTGAAAACACATTTTTGCCACATCTAAATGTGTTCTTAATTCAAATGGGCCCCCTGAAACCTTCCCCATTCAACCTACCCCGCCGACCTCAGTATATGTCATAACAAAATATTAGCTTCATTGGGCAAAACAGCGCTAATTTAATTCAATAAAAGTCAAGTAGGCAAGGTGAGAGAGAGGCATGTCTGTGTCAGCGTGTATGTTAGTATTAAAATGCTGGGTATTATAACATAATCTCTCCCTCACAGCATTAGCATCAAACAAGCATTATTTCACAGGCAAAAGCAACTTATGTCAACAGTGTGGAAAAAAAGGGGCAAGGTTAGAGGGTTCACACCTCTAAATGAAGTAGGCCCGCGCAAACATCAGAGGACCTCAGTGAGATTAACATTAGCATAAGGCAAGAATAAAAAAAAAACACCATACAGATCGACAATAGGATTACTAAGGGTTTGCATGTATTGAATTTGGATTAAATGAAAAAAAAATTCTATAAGAAGAGTGAAGCAGGAGGGCATGGTGTAAACTATCAGTTTCAGATTTTGAAAAATGATCTGTTTTGGCAGATAGTTCTTAAAGCATTTTAAAATAAACAATTCTCTATGTATTTTGACTTGTTGATAGCAACTTAATATGTTAGGCTGTTAGAGAGAAATAAAAATAGATAAGGTAAAGCAGAAGTAAATAGTTGTGGTGAGAAGTGACAAACTGATGAGGAGAGGATCACGCATTCTGAATTAACACATGCACACTCTTCTCTATATAAGTGTCTCTTTTTCTTACACACGCATATGCACAACCACCCACCCACCCACAAATACACACCACCACTGTTTTTAGCAGTTTGTCTATGAATGAACAGAACTTCAGTCAGGGAAGATGGAGGAAGGAAAAAATAGTTATTTCTGTCACTGCTGGGACAAACACACAAAGAAATACTTACAATGACTGCTTTGCCCCAGCTTTGCATATAGTATCTCACACAAAAGCATCCGAGTCAATCATCAACCCTCCTTTACCATCACTGACTCTGTCGCACACACACATTCTCCTGCCTCAAACTCATCCGACTCACTGAGACAGTTCACATGCTTAACACACACACACACACACACACACACACACACACACACACGCAGAACAAGATCTGCTCTTAACAGTCACCCTTTACCTTATACTCATTTCCTACCTGCACTTTTCCATCCATATCTCTGTCTCTGTCATCTGTACATGAATGTGTGTGTGTGTGTGTGTGTGTGAGGGTGCGTGTGTGTGTGTGAGAAAGCGTCACGTACCTGTTACACTCCTGAGGTAGCTCAGGCTCAGTGAGCATGCTGGAGTAAGGGTCCGTCTCTCTTGACAACAACATAAAACAGTCCCACAATGCTCAGATGAACAAGGTTAGTCTCCCCAAAACAAGACGGGATAGAAGTGATCCTTCAACCTCTCTCACACACACACACTGCTGATTCTCTCTCTCTCTTTCTGTGTTCCTCTCTCTCTCTCTATACTCTCACACTTTGAGCCTCACACCCTCTCTATCTGCCTCTGTCCCTCCTCTTCTCCCTCCCTCTCTAGGCTCAGTCCTTAAAGGGCCAGCAGCAGAGTGGCGTTCTCTTTTACTCAGTGTATGTGTGTGTGAGACAGTGTGTATGTGTCTGTGTGAGCAGAGGGGAGGGACCGTTTGACCAGAGGGCTCATCACTCCCTGAGTGCAAATGCACAGCAGTGCTGCCCCCTTCCTCAGGTACATCTCTCTCTTTGTCACAATGTGGATTTCCAGCCAGCTGTTTTCAATTTTAGTGAAGTTCCAGAAATCAGAAGGCAATCTCAAAATAGCGAAAGAAGCTGATGTTAGCATATTGATAAAAGCAAAATGCAACTATATGCAAGAGAAACAGGTTTAGCATATTTACCCTGATGTGACATTAATAATGTGATTTAATTGTCCACTGAAGAGATAACAAAGAGTGGTATATGAAAATTGCGTGCAGAGTCATGAGGACTGTAATATTCATCAATTAATACACGAAACACTCAGAAAGGCCACATTTCCTATACAGTGGGTACGGAAAATATTCAGACCCCCTTAAATTTTTCACTCTTTGTTATATTGCATCCATATGCTAAAATCATTTAAGTTCATTTTTTCCCTCATTAATGTACACACAGCACCCCATATTGACAGAAAAACACAGAATTTTTGACATTTTTGCAGATTAAAAAAGAAAAACTGAAATATCACATGGTCATAAGTATTCAGACCCTTTGCTCAGTATTTAGTAGAAGCACCCTTTTGAGCTAATACAGCCACGAGTCTTTTTGGGAATGATGCAACAAGTTTTTCACACCTGCATTTGGGGATCCTCTGCCATTCCTCCTTGCAGATCCTCTCCAGTTCTGTCAGGTTGGATGGTAAACGTTGGTGGACAGCCATTTTCAGGTCTCTCCAGAGATGCTCAATTGGGTTTAAGTCAGGGCTCTGGCTGGGCCATTCAAGAACAGTCACAGAGTTGTTGTAAAGCCACTCCTTCGTTATTTTAGCTGTGTGCTTAGGGTCATTGTCTTGTTGGAAGGTGAACCTTCGGCCCAGTCTGAGGTCCTGAGCACTCTGGAGAAGGTTTTCGTCCAGGATATCCCTGTACTTGGCCGCATTCACCCTTCCCTCCATTGCAACCAGTCGTCCTGTCCCTGCAGCACCCCCATAGCATGATGCTGCCACCACCATGCTTCACTGTTGGGACTGTATTGGACAGGTGATGAGCAGTGCCTGGTTTTCTCCACACATACCACTTAGAATTAAGGCCAAAAAGTTCTATCTTGGTCTCATCAGACCAGAGAATCTTATTTATCACCATCTTGGAGTCCTTCAGGTGTTTTTTAGCAAACTCCAGGCGGGCTTTCATGTGTCTTGCACTGAGGAGAGGCTCCCGTCGGGCCACTCTGCCATAAAGCCCCGACTGGTGGAGGGCTGCAGTGATGGTTGACTTTCTACAACTTTCTCCCATCTCCCAACTGCATCTCTGGAGCTCAGCCACAGTCATCTTTGGGTTCTTCTGTACCTCTCTCACCAAGGCTCTTCTCCCCCGATAGCTCAGTTTGGCCAGACGGCCAGCCCTAGGAAGGGTTCTGGTCGTCCCAAACGTCTTCCATTTAAGGATTATAGAGGCCACTGTGCTCTTAGGAACCTTAAGTGCAGCAGAAATTTTTTTGTAACCTTGGCCAGATCTGTGCCTTGCCACAATTCTGTCTCTGAGCTCTTCAGGCAGTTCCTTTGACCTCATGATTCTCATTTGCTCTGACATGCACTGTGAGCTGTAGGGTCTTATATAGACAGGTGCGTGGCTTTCCTAATCACGTCCAATCAGTATAATCAAACACAGCTGGACTCAAATGAAGGTGTAGAACCATCTCAGGGATGATCAGAAGAAATGGACAGCACCTAAGTTAAATATATGAGTGTCACAGCAAAGGGTCTGAATACTTATGACCATGTGATATTTCAGTTTTTCTTTTTTAATAAATCTGCAAAAATGTCAAAAATTCTGTGTTTTTCTGTCAATATGGGGTGCTGTGTGTACATTAATGAGGAAAAAAATGAACTTAAATGATTTTAGCATAGGGCTGCAATATAACAAAGAGTGAAAAATTTAAGGGGGTCTGAATACTTTCCGTACCCACTGTACACAGCAGGGCTGTGAGCTCCCGGGGATCTCATTTTGTGTCACTTGTACAAGTTTTTAACGGCCTTCACACCACTGCAGTGGCAGATTTTGTTTTTCCTTTGTCTTTCTGAGTTTGGCTGAGTGTTGGTGCACAGCTCAGTCCCAGCAGCAGCATCTTAGGATCCAAAATGGATGTTTGGATTGTT